ATTTTTTCTAAAACAAACAATGCGAAAATAATCCCATTAATTATTTTTTATGTTTTTTCAATATTATTATTATTATTTTTAGTACACTAAAAAGTAATTTTACAAAAGAAAGAAAGGTGTATGGACATATTTCATGTATAATTATATGTGATTATGAATATTTATGCGTGTTTATGTATGTTTATATATATTTATATTAATGTATAAAAAATTTTTTACTGGGGAAATACGGATTTAATAATTTTTTTTATTTCTTGATCATTAATTCAATATATTATTTTCATATTTCATGTTATTAATTTTCAAATGATGATGTTGCAGGGTAATATCATTTCTAAAATTTGTTGCGAAAGTACATTTAGAATTCAAATTAGAAAGCGAGAAGTTTCGTCGGACGTGCACTTTAATCACACAAGCGGCACAAATCGGTCTCGATACCTATACATTTTAATTTTTCCGGTTTTCTCTAATATTCTACGAATATGGAAACACTACTGTTTAGAATCAATCATGACGAAAAATTCGAAGAAAAGAAAGTTGACCATTACTGAAAAAAAATCGAAGATATTTTACCTGAAATAAAAGCAAACTATTCTGTGGTGACAAAAATCACGTCTTTATTTCAGATAAAATCGTAAAATATTTTTTTAATAAACTCAGTACGTTATTCTGTGCTAGTACATATAATATTAAAGAAAATTACATGTGAAATATATAAAATATAAATGTATAAAAACAAATAATTTTTTTTTATTAGGATCAAACGTTTTTAAAAATTATTTTCTAAAGAATAGCCGGATATTTCATGTTGATTATAAAATTAATAAGTAGAGTTCTATTTTTTTAATTCTGACATGAAGATCGTATATATATATATATATATATATATATTTCAAATATCATATGCCATTCACTTGCATTGTTCTTTGCATGGATAATTTAGATCACCCGGTATAAACGTTGACTATATAAAATTTGTTCGTTCTACAGCGTTTCTTTACGTTTTCTGATACTTTTGAAGGGATATATGTGTGTGCATCCACACTTTTAGGAGAAAAGAAAGATACGAGGTGCGTACGGAACCAAACACAAATAAACGGAAAAGCTGTGAACTAAAATAAGAGAGCAGAATACAACAAAAGGCGAGTCTTCGAGAACGAAAAATAGTTTTGGAGTATTGTTTTTTACCTTAGAAAGTCATGGCACATGTGGAAGTCCCGATGGGAGAGATGCAGGCCCCGCCAGAGAATCATAAAACTACGAATGGGTAACGAATACACAATTTGTTTTTATATTTTCCTAAGATTTACCTAACTTAACCTATAATCAAGTGCCATACTGTGTGTTGACGTAGCAATCTAGCAAAAACGCAGAAATATTTCATTACTAATTTGTTATGAATAATTCATTAATGTAAATAATTCAAGCATATTTCATGAGCTGTTTTGATGTTGAAATAATCGAAAATACAGAGTAGAAAATCAGAATGTAAAGACTCCTGCATTGTCTGATTTATTCGTATTAATTGATTTTTCTGCTTATGTTATTCTATAGATTTGAATTTCTGCAACTACCTCAGCTGCCACTTGGACAGATAGCTGTAGGCTATCCTCAAGCCCAAAATTGGATCGAACACAGAAAAGCAAATATTCGTCCATGGTCATTGTTCCTTAACACAAACAACATCAGACCGCCACCCAATATAAGCAGATTGAGCAAGCGAGTTGTAAAGAACATTGAATATTTCCAGAGCAATTATCTGTTTGTGTTTATTGGACTAGTAATATACTGCTTGTAAGAAATACTTAATATTCTACTAATTTGTTGGTTTAATGTTTATAAAAATAATTCTATTAATTCTGATGGTCTATTTAAATTTAATATATAATCATATTGCTTGGATCAATACGATAAAAGTTCTAAAAAATAAAAAATATATTTTTACAGAGAAAAGATCTAACAAAATTGTCAAATATTAGAGAAAAATTTTTAAATAAAATATTAGTAAAAAAATCAGTCACATTTTGGGTCAAATAGACCTGGATAAAGTTAATTATTTTTATATGATTTTATATGACTGTATGTGACAAAATCTATAATTTTTTTTAGACTTACTTCACCTCTGTTGTTGCTGACAGTTGTTGCTTCCCTTGGAATATGTTACAAGTTGTCTCAGCGACATTCGAAGCAGGAATTGATGATATTGAATCACAGATTAACTTTGGCGCAAGTGTATTCTTTAGTTGGAATTTTTTCACTGCCTGTATTTTACCTAGTAGGTGCACACGCAGCTGTCTTTTGGGTACTTGGTAGGTAAAAGAGTATCTTGGAAATATAATTATATGATGCAAAAAATAATTAAATTTATATTCTTTTCTTTCAGGAGTTTCTTGGTTTATGATAACGCTTCATGCTGCTTTTTATAACATCGATGCAGTGCTGTGTCCAGGAGAAGAGGAACTCAATGCGTTAGTTATGCAGGAAGTATGATTACCATATATCCATTTTCTGCTAAAAAAAATTGAATCTTTAACTCCTTAAAATATTCATAATAACAATTTGAATGTATTTACTTTGTATACATTTAGATCTTTCCATTTGATAAATGGCAAGAGATTTATATAGAAACACTCTGTATAATATACTTGCATATATTATGTAGTAATTTGATAAATATGACTTCTTGTACATAATATGTATATATATATTATTATATATATAAAGTTGTATTAAGATCTGTTTATGTAATCCATATACTCAATAATAAGTATTTTGTTATTGAAATACATTTTTGCAAATGTGTTTATAAGATAATAAGTACACTGATAAATAGGACACACATTTCTTGCACAAAACTACAATTATATGTATATAATATTTATATGAGTAATATCAAACATTTTTATTGTTCATTCCAATTAATAACTAATAAATTTTGTTAGTAAAAAATAATACAGGTCGAACGTTTTGTACATATATGGATATATTAAATAGACTTCCAATTTACAAAACGATACTGCAATAAAACGGACTAGAGAGAGCAAATCGTAAAATGAAATATTTCCTACGATAGTGTGTAGTATCTCTGCGGAAATTCATTTCCGCAACATTATATATACATGTGTATATCTTTTCTAGATGTGGTTATAATAATCAATCAGTTGCGGAGATAGTCGCTTATATTCTAATATTATTAAATAATTCATTTTGTATACTTTAGTATAGAAAAGAATAATTTGTGTCTCATTTGCGGAAAATGATCAATCAAAATGTATTGTCGTAAACAAACAAAAATCTAATAAAAATAAAGTTTAATAATTTGAAACTTGTGTATACAGGGTGTCCCGCGAGATTTCTCTCACTGTTCACAGAAAGATAGATAGGATCGAGATGAACACAAAAGTCTCATTTAGCGATATTCGCAATAATAGAGATATTAATTTTTGTAATTGTACTAATGAGAGTACAATTACGAGCAACAGCGTACTTCCTCTCTTATCTCTCCAACGCGCTGCTGGCAGCCAATGCTTGATAAACTGAGCCGGGCTATACCTCGAGCAACTGGAGTGTTTCTCTCGATGTGTTCTCATTAGTACAATTACAAAAATTAATATTTCTATTATTATTGCGAATATCGCTAAACGATATGAGACTTTTGCGTTCATCTCGATCCCATCTTATACCTTCCTGTGAGCGGTAAGAGAAGTCTCGCGGTACACCCTGTATATATTATGTATAAGAATAAGAGGGCTATCTGCTGGATCCATTTCCTCATAATAATTATGATTATAATATGTATATATATGAAGTATATATTTCAAATTATTTTTTTTGTATAGTGAAAAATGAAACAGGTATATAATTTTCACGTTTCGCAGCAGTAAACGCGGTACGATTAATAAGACAAATAAGCTTGAAAGTTTAGTTCATTAGTCACGACTTTGCGATAGTCATTGATAACTACGTGAACATCTTGTATGTACGCTCCTGTACCTGCAGTGTGTCTGGTGGAATCTGGTGGATTCTCTAAAAGGAGACGCATGACGTATGTCTATTATTCGGTATGTGACACAGCATGTAACTATCGTTTTGGAGTTCGTATCATGCAGCAAAAACAATGATAATTATAAATTTCTTACTCTATTCTTTTTACAATGATATAGCCGTGCCTTGCAAGAGCAGTTTGATTAAAACGCAGTCTTCCAAAGATAAACGTGGCAGTATCGCTTGGTAAATGGACCTGAGGATAGCACTAGGTAAGAATGTAATTCTTTCTTCGATGATATTGTTGGAGAAAAAATAAAACAAAGAGCATGATCTTGAAAAATAGACTTACAATGGATCTTGCAATTATATTTTTCGGGATGCAAGCTTGATCCAACTCTCAGAAGCACGTTACATTTTGGTTAGCTTTAGCAAGTGAAAGCAGCAGACTATAACTTATTTATAAATGATTTTATCGCTATACGCATATATTCACAATATGTATGTTTATAGAACGAAGATCATGCTTTGCAAAGTTGCAAAAATATGAAAGCCTCACAATTACAGATTTTCACTTGTCGTGAAAACAGTAGATTATAATTTATTTTTAATTATAATTTTATTACCGTACACATATATACCCAGATAACAACGTGTTTGTCTTGCTGGCATATTGCTTGCTAAATATGCATTGCTAAGTATGTGTTGCTACCAGAATTTCAGCAACTGAGTCCTCATTTGTTGGCAACTTGATGCCTTCACGATACGATAACATTGAGTAGCAATTTGCTAGCAATTTACCGACAACTTTAAAATCGTCATCATCAAAATTCGTACTATTGCCATCATGTTGCCATAATAATATGCAGCATTATACAATGCTGTCATATTGTCGACAACGCAAGATAACAATAGCTGCGTTCAGCAAAGAAAGCTGCTTTGTAACTGTTGTAAAATTCTTCAATATGATTGATTCTTGCTTTTGGTTCCTTATAGATCTAAATGTATAAACCAATCATATTGAAGAATTTTACAACAGTTGCAAAGCTGTTTTCTCTGCTGAACGCAGCCAACTATCTTGCTGTTAAACTGCTGGCAACACATTGTTGTCTGCATGTTGCTACAATGTCGGTATATTCGAGATCGTTGAAGACAAATCTACGGCAAGTTGTCAGCATCATAAGCAATCACAGATTTGCGAAATTTTACTGAGACACGCTTTGCTATCTGGGTACATATATATATGCATTAAAAACATATGTTTAGAGAATAGAAATCGTGCATTGTAAAGTTGAAGAAATATGAGAAGCCTCTCAATTATAGGTTTTCACTTATGTTATTCGAATCATTGCTGGATATTATTCTTATTATATACAAGAAGATACCAATGGAATACCATTTTATTATTGTTACATGTTTCTTGATTTTTTCCCCTTTGATTTGCACGATGCATACGTTTGTTTGGTTTGCATAAAGTAGGGTTTGACAATCCATGAATTTATTAAACAATGGAAGAGGATGACGAAGAGGTTTCTCTTACATGCGCGCAACGACGTGAAAGCAGTGTTCCCGAATCAAGCTTGTATCGGTCGGTGCAGAACAGTTTGAATCAAGGTTCCCAGCAGACATTGTATCAAAGCGTTCGTAACACCTTGTACGAGGACGATATGAGTGTGAACAGCATGCGCAGCGCTGTCTCCTTGGATAATCTCTGCTCTACATATATGGATGATCCATCCACTGTGAATAATGATACAAACGAAACGATTATAAATGACACAAACGAAACGATTGTAAGTGAAAGTTATACAGACAAGAAGAACAATATACATGACACAAGATTGGTAAGAATTAATCTCTTCATGTATTCTACGATTTAGAATAAGATGATAAATGTGACACTAGTTCTTTCATCATTTATGTTTGATTATTATATAACGAACTATTATAACATATTTTAAATTATAATTTTATTCAAAATTATAATTAATAAGAGTTGATGTTACAATCAATAATAACAATGCCTTTAAAAATGCTATTTTTAAAAGTTATTTCTAATTTTAAAGAAATACTAATGAATTCTTAGTCTTGTATAATTAAAGACTGATGAGTATTAGATTAAGTTACGAGTAATAGATTAAATTACCGATTACTTTTTTAACTCTGCCGGCAATTGGAATCTTCTATCAGTTACTGTTGATATTTTGATTGTGAATTTTAGTAAGTAAATTTAAATCTATGAAAAATAAGTAAAATACAATTCGACTTCTATGATAGTAAAAACTCGTTATTATAAAGCTTTAACAGATATATCAGAATTTTTTCAGATTTTTATATAATTCGGAATAATAAAAAATTTGCTTTGTTTCTCGAAGGCTCCTATTGCTGATGGAAGAATTAAAATTCGTGTTACTAGCGAAGGATATTAAAAAAAATATGAATATAATATTTTGATATATTCTCTCTCTCTCCAGGTTTCTCTTTCTGGTACAAGGTATAGTTTATATTTTCGTGATGAGATACGTTCAGTTGATTTCGTACTCGTGTGGGATGATTATAGCGGAGAAGCACAGACTTATCGCAGTGTCGAACGTAGAAGGGTAAGTACAAATTACTATTTAAATAAAGTATATATCAATTTTGCCTTACGAAAAATTCGCGCTATATTTTCAGATATTTGAGAAGAATCTAGAAAAAGAAGGACTACAATTGGAGTACGAACAAGCAGAACCAAATGGCTTGCACTTCATAAAGATTCACGCGCCCAACGAAGTTTTGCGACGATATGCTGAGATATTGAAACTCAGACTGCCAATGAGAGAACTGCCTGGTTGCCGCATGCCTGAGACAAGCAGTAACATTATTATTAAAGAAGTCAATTCGTTTTTCCGGCGCATTATGAATAAATATTACGTCGACACAACTATTTTCCCGACGATGAGGCAGAACTTTACGGCGGTGTATAGTAGGGACAAAGATTATTTATTCGATTTGGAATCGCCCAATTTTTTCACATCGGCAACTCGATCGCGTATTGTGCAATTTATATTGGACAGAACTAGATTCACAGAAACCAAGGAGGACGATTTTGCATTTGGCATTGAAAGATTGATATCTGAACATACATACGTTGCAGCGTATCCGCTTCATGATGTAAGTTACTTTTTCTGTGAGCACGGTTCCAAAATTATAAAAATTATTTTAGAGCATGTGGAGTAAACTGACTCACTCGGTATATATAAATATGCTATTTATATTTCAGGGAAATCTGCACACTCCAGACTCAATGCGATATCTTTTGTATACTGAATGGGCTAGTTTGAGAAAATGCCTTCATTATCAGCCTTTGGATTACATCAAAGAATACTTTGGGGTGAAGATCGGGCTTTATTTTGCCTGGCTAGGATTTTACACTCACATGCTAATTCCAGCTAGTATCGTCGGTCTCTTGTGCTTCGTATACAGTTGCGCTACTTTGTATCACAACGAACCGAGCGAAGATGTTTGTAACGATAGCAATACAATTGCGATGTGTCCATTATGTGATCATTTTTGTGGATCTTGGAATCTAAAGGAAACGTGTTTACACTCGAGAATTACATACTTGTTCGACAATCCATCGACAGTATTTTTCTCTATATTTATGTCATTATGGGGTATGTTAAAATTATTAATAATAGCTTATTAATGAATTATTTATAAAATTGTTATATTTGAATAACGGTTTTATATGACTATATAACGCTATAATCATTTTTAGCCACACTGTTCCTTGAATTATGGAAGAAATATTCTGCTGAAATAACCCACAGGTGGGATTTAACTGGTTTAGATGCTCAAGAAGAATATCCTAGGCCACAGTACTTAGCAAGACTTGCTCATATTAAGAAGAAATCTGTCAATATTGTCATAAATGCAGAAGAACCGCAAGTGCCATACTGGAAGATGAGATTACCCGCTACGATTTTCAGTTTTTCAGTTGTTTTACTTTTGGTATGTTTAATTTCCACAATATAAAAAAAATTGAATAATTATGCATATAAGGGACCATCCTCCAATGACCTTGACATATGTTATCAAGGTCATAACCCCGAGTGACTCTAACAAATTTTAGCCGTCACTCGTTCGTTAAAAAGTTATTAACAAAAAAAGTTCTTCAATAAAACCTAGCTTTTGGACATGACTGTGCTCCGATGAGAAAAATTCCCTGCTTTAACAGCGCAAAATATTTTCTTATATAAGGACCCCGCACTATCCTTATCGGAAATGGGGTTCCGCGGATTTGGCTATAACTTTGCCAATTTGTTATTTAAGCCATACTGATGAAAAGTTATCAAGGTCACAACTTAATCCTATGAGCCATTTTCAATGTAGAGTCGCTCGAATGTCTGTAATAGTATGATTTTCTATATGCATCCTAGGTAGCAAGATGATGTCAAATGACGTCTTAATAACATCTTTAGCATTAATAACATGTCATTAAGATGTCACTTTACGTCACCTTGTTACCTGGGATGTCATTTTTCTATTCTTAGCGTTTTTCAGGATTAGTGCAGATAGAACGATCCAGACTGGTGGATCGAAAAGTCATGTACCATTTGCAATTTTTGCAATAGTTAATGAGTTATTAATTATTAAAAATCGGCGCGTTCGCCCGGTCTACCGTCGAATACAAGCGTCTTGCCGCGATTATCACCTACCCCTCGTAGAAAGGCTCCGTCTATATGTCGTTGATTTGAACAAGTCCACGACGTTAATCCTGAAAAACGCTAAGAATAGAAAAATGACATCCCAGGTAACAAGATGACGTAAAGTGACATCTTAATGACATGTTATTAATGCTAAAGATGTTATTAAGACGTCATTTGACATCATCTTGCTACCTAGGATGCATATAGAAAATCATACTATTACAGACATTCGAGCGACTCTACATTGAAAATGGCTCATAGGATTAAGTTGTGACCTTGATAACTTTTCATCAGTATGGCTTAAATAACAAATTGGCAAAGTTATAGCCAAATCCGCGGAACCTTATTTCCGATAAGGATAGTGCGAGGTCCTTTGTGTCTTTAAACCACATAGAATTTGTATTTTTAAAGCAGAGAATTTGTATTTTTAAAGCAGAGAATTTGTATTTTTAAAAGCATAGAATTTACGTTTTAAAGGAAAAAAATTTCGATCGTTATAGGAATTTGGGCGACAACGACGTAGTCGTTTACAGTTACACCCAGTGAGAAATGACAATGGAATAGATGTCGATTCGACGTCGATTCCATTGTCATTTTTCACTGGGCAGTGTTTATTTTCGCGAAATGTTAGATTTAAACTTCTGTCCATATAAAAAGAATGGAAAAGGTGTACATTATACGTAAGAAAATATTTCCTGCTTTACAAACACAAATTCTTTTCTTTAAAACCACATTTTTTTTCCTTTAAAATGCAAATTCTATGCTTTAAAAATACAAATTCTCTGTGCTCTAAAGACACAATTTATATAAGAAAATATTTTGCGCTATTAAGGCAGGGAATTTGTCTCATTGAAGCGCAGTCATGTTCAAAAATTAGGTTATTGAAGAACTTTTTTGTTAATAACTTTTTAACGAACAACGAGCGACGGCTAAAATTTGTTCAAGGTCACTCGGGGTCATGACCTTGACAACATATGTCAAGGTCAAGGTCATTGGAGGGTGGTCCCTTATAGTGCATTACCAAAAATTGTTATTGGAAAAATATATTTATAGCAATATAATTTGGTATGAATTGTTAATAATATTTATATATTGTTTTATACAAAAATTTGTTAAGACTTTATATGATAATATTACAGATAGTTGTAGCTATGGCTGCTGTTCTTGGAGTAGTCTTATACAGAATGTCTGTTTTAACTGCATTAAGTGTTTCTGGACATTCAATGGTAACCAGTCATGCTATATTGTTCACTACTGCAACTGCTGCCTGCATTAATCTCTGTTGTATCATTTTGTTCAATTGGCTTTATGTTTGGCTGGCAGAATATTTGACTGAGGTAATTTTATAAGAATCTATCTATTAAAATGTTAATTGTATAAAAAAATTTATTAAAAATAATAATTCAAATTAAATTATTTTTTATCATATATATTAGTTAATAATTTAAAAAATAAATTATGAAATAAAGACTAAAGATATTTTATTAATCTTAATAAATATGAAAATTCTTTTTTTCTTATTTTCAGATTGAATTACTTCGTACTCAGACTGAATTTGACGATAGCTTGACTCTAAAAATTTATTTACTGGAGTTTGTGAATTATTACGCCTCTATATTTTACATAGCATTTTTCAAGGGGAAATTCACTGGTTATCCAGGAAATTATAATCGTTTTTTCGGCTCTCGACAAGAAGAATGTGGACCGGGTGGTTGTCTCTTGGAATTATGCATTCAACTGAGCATTATTATGATTGGTAAACAAGCCATGAACACTATTTTGGAAATGCTCTTTCCTCTATTTTATAAATGGTTGAACACCTTGAAAGTTCATGTGGGCTCGAAAAAGTTGGACGAACCGAATAAAAGATATTCATCGAGAAAATATTTGCAATGGGTTAGAGATTATAAATTAGTCCAATGGGGACCTAGAAGTCTTTTTCCTGAATATTTAGAAATGGGTAAATACAAAGAAATATCGTTTATTCTATCAAAAAATAATAAATAATTGATTAAAGTAATATATATGCTAGAAATACACATTGAAATGTAATTCAATGTGTATTCAATCTTTTCGAACAAAGTTATAATTTTTTTCTTTGTAGTGCTACAATACGGATTTGTTACGATCTTCGTTGCTGCATTTCCATTAGCGCCATTCTTTGCGTTACTAAATAATATCTTTGAGACGAGATTGGATGCGAAAAAGTTATTAACCATGTATAGAAGGCCAGTTGGGCAACGTGTCAGAGATATAGGCATATGGTATCGCATTCTCGATTCTATTTCCAAACTATCCGTTATCACAAATGTAAGTTTTATAATTCATCAGTTATTGATGGCATTCGATAGAAAAAGCAGCTTTACACACAACTGTTGTAAAAATTTTTAATAATTTTAAGAAATTAGATTGTTTCTTTTGCCGTCAGTTCCTTATTAAATCTAAATGTACATATAAACCAATCATATTAAAGACTCTTACTACAGTTACACAACTGTTTTTTTTTTTACTGAGCGTAGCAAACGTAACTTTTAAAGATGTGACTTGAAATTTATCAATGATTTTATAATTGAAAGTAGCGTTATTTCACAAATTACAACTAAATTTTTCAAGCACAATCATTTCCGTGTTTCAGGCATTCATCATAGCTTTTACTTCAAACTTTATACCGAGACTAGTTTATCGCATAACGGTTTCGGATAATTATTCATTAGAAGGTTTCCTGGATCACTCTCTAGCAAAATTTAATACTAGCGATCTGAGTGAAACTCAGTCAAATATGACATTGAATCAAATCCCAATCAAAATCTGCCGCTATCCAGATTATAGAGAACCACCAGACTCATTAAACAAGTACGAGTACAACATCATGTTCTGGCATATATTAGCGGCTAGATTAGCTTTTATCGTCGTTTTTGAGGTATGTTCTTTTTTCAAATAGATTTTTTTTTTAAATATCTGCACTTTAAATAGATTTATCTAGTTTATCTTAACAAATGAAGAAGATAGTAATTATATTGTAATATATTTGCGTATTTTGCAGAATGTTGTAGCACTCGTGATGATTCTCATACGGTGGTGCATTCCTGATATAAGTTGTAAGTTACACAACAGGATACGTCGCGAGGCATACATTACTAACGAAATTATTATACATCAAGAAGCACTACGAGCTTGTGAAAGGCCCATTACTGATAATTTAGAGCCAAGAATCGCAAAAACATACATGGTTGCTAACGAAAGTGCCGATAGATGGAACCGAGTTATGGGAAATTGCCTGACCACTTCAGAATTTGATCTGGAGATCCATGGGAGTCCTATTTCGCCCGTCAATAGAACCCCGCACATTAGTCCTATTGGTCTGATAGATACCAAGGATTCATCAAATGTGTGAGATTCGCGAGTAGTATAGGTTTTTAAAAACTTATTAAGTCGGTGCAAAAAGTTTGTCATCTGTGCCGAAAAATAGAATTAACAAATTTGTAAAAAGACTATTTTTGTAAGTAATTTTATTAATTATTGTAATACTCACATTTGTGACTTTAATATATATTTTTTTATCTAAAAAAGGAAGAAGAGAATTTTTATCTTTCATTTTTAAAAGATTCATCAATAACTTTAAAAAAACTGTAGAATTGAATAACGGCAAACTCTTTGCACCACTTCAATAATACCGTGATTTTTTGCTAGTCATGGTATGAACTTATTCTGAAGATCTGACGAAAAGGGATATTATTAAAAAATATATATATATATATATTGAAAGTATATTTTTAATGCAAAGGTCACCATTTTAATTATCTCTAACTTATCTAATTATAACAGATGCCATATAAAATGTACGTTCTATTTTTCATAGCGATTATACAGCAAGCATTGTTATGTATATATATATATATATATATATGTATGTGCAAATGTAATAAGGCCTAAATGTCTGCCAATACATGAGATACATGATTTCTATAAATTTTACACAATAATTATATCGACCAACAGTTTGCAAATATAAAAAATAGAATGTATTATTTATCGATTATTTCTTATTATATGTCCAAAGTAAATTATTGGGCACAATATTAGGAGATGTTTTATGTATAATGGATAGCAACTGAATTGTGTCGCCGAAGAGTTTACTATAAAATTATATCTATATGTTTTTTTATTTACTTTAAAAATAGACCTATATTATTATACTAAAAACATGGATTTATTTCTCAGAAAGATTATATAAACTGTACAGAATACTTTGGGGAGAATCTCAGGCTTGTTTAAGTAATTATTAAAGCACTACTGTGAGATATTTGCATATATCATTATATTTCTAAGAGATCTTGGAACAAACTAATCGTTCCTTTCAATATTTTATTGTTATATAATAATTAAGGATATATATTTCAAGTTTATAATCGACCTCTTATATATATTTAAATATTTTAAATAAAAGAAGAAAATAATTAAACTACTGTCGAATTGATTTTAGTCAATTTTAATGATTCTTTTCCTGATATTTTTCTCTCCTGATCAAATGAAATACGATTACTTCGTGCCTCAGCAAGAACATAAAAAATAAAAAATACATCATTTGTTATTAGCGTTATTAAATGCTGTTTGATCTCTTTTGCTTCAATTTTCCAAATATTGTAATTTGCATTTAATGTATTAATTTCTCTTCAACCATGCATTTGTTTAGTGCATATAGGAAAAAAGGGACCAAAATGAACGAAATTCCAGATCGTTGACAATCCGTACGTCCTGTTTGAAAGAGCTGTGTTATATGTAGAGAGAGATCTTGTAATCTATGATCCCAGCTAATGCTAAATATTCACAGAAAGTTCTATTCGTATTACCAATGTACCGAATGTTCTGGAACAGTAAAAGAATCGTCACAGAATGTGCAAGTGTCGATGAAATGTTCAGAATATTGTGTGAATACTTCTTGTATATTTCACGAAAATCGCTAGCGAGCGAGCAGTACACATCTCCGTCGACAGAGAGCCGCGGCGACGAGCATTTATTCGTAAACAAGAATCATCTGGAACAGAATATAAGGAGCTCAGCACTTCGTCTGTGAAGCGAGCCCTAAAATTTCATTTGTATACCGTTACATGTTCCTAGAATGTTCCATATATATTCCGCAAAATTTGTATTTTTCCAAAAATTCCAGGACAGGTTGTCCGTGAATCAGTTTTTAAACAAAATTTTATTTTGGAAAACACATTTAATGTTTATTCACCTTGGAGCCCAATATTGGGAATATGTAACGAGAAAAATATGTAACGATATACAAATAAAATTTTTAACCGATATTTAAATGTTTCTTTTACATACCGTAAATATTCGGAATGTTTTGGAGTATTCTTGGAATATTTTTTTGAGATTTTAGGAATATTTTATGAATATTTTAAGAATATTTAGCGTTTGCTGGGCGAATATTATTATTAATTTTTTATATATTGTAGGATAATATATTAATATATTATTAATATAATATATATTACATATATAATAATAATATATATGTTAGGATATTATTACATAATATTATTATATTATTAGAAGATCTCTAATATCATGCATAATGATCACACGTGTCGTGTTCTAATGTGGTGTTGTGTGGTGCTGCGATCGCACCGGTGAGGGACACGCGGTCCATCGTCCGTGTTCAATCAGTTCGATATATGTTTTTTTCCGTGTTCGATATTTTAAATTGTAAGTTCGTCGTACGTTTTTATTTCGACGTCGAAGTCGTCGCATCGACGTTAGCATGAGATTTTAACGCGGCAACCAAAAAAGGGAAGGCAGAAACTCGTCAACGAAATAATGGGCACCGTTCACGCTAAGGTACGTATTTATTATTAGAAGTTACGGCATAACCTAAAATCTCATTTGGATTCTCGGAATGAGTAATCTCTAATAATATACCGAGATAGATCATTTTAATTTTCGCTCTAATTCCCACGATATCAATCGATGACAATTAAATAACATATAAATTCACGTAACTTGTACAATTGGATTTTTATTAAAGAATATATTATGTATACAGATGTAATCTAATGGAGAAATGTTTTTTTTTTTAGGAACCCAGTAGTTCTTCAGGCCTGGATCAATTACCTAAGGAGAATGCCTTTGCAAAGAAACACAATGACTCACCAAACGCAACGGATGACTTTGTATATCTACAATTTATGTGACAAAATAATTTAACCCTTTGAAGCTGACAGTAGATATATTAGATTCACTCAATTATAAATCTCTTTTTATGTCTTAGAAAAGTCAATTCAATTTTTTTGTATTATGGCAAATTTGGACTATTCCTATTAAAATATACTTAATATTTATTCTTTTTTTTTATGTAAGTTATGTCATTTTGGTTCTTCAAAATTAATTAGCTTTTCAATTAACATAAATTAAGTAGATCTTATAGATACATAGTATTAGTAACTGTTACTAGTTTTTAGTATCAGTTTCAAAGGATTAATTCATACTTATAACGGTCTGCCTAGTTCTTTAGTTTTTTGCTTTCAAATTTAATTAATTAAGATCCTATTATTTTTCTTGCAGCCACCGTTTTCCAATAGCAAATCTCAGTTATATAGGGAAGAAGAGAATGTACATACGAAAAACATTGTTTTACAGGCAGTACAAGTATGTCAATGAAGTTATTCAGATGGTAGAGTCAAGTATCATCATTTGTGAATTTTAAAAATTATTTTGTATCATCTCCATCAGGCACGAGTCGACAAGATACACGTGGATGGACTTGTACGAACGAAGGACGACATTATTAAGTCACAAGTGACGGACTTGTTCAAAGCGAAAAATTTCGAGGATGTTATTATACGCGCTTACAAAGTGCGAGAGAAGTTAGACGCCCTGGGATGTTTTAGAAATATCGGCATTTACATCGATACCAGTCAAGGACCCGACGCCACGCCTGATGGTGTTGAAGTGGGTCTATATAATTAAACAATTAATTCGACAAAGAATAAGTAATTTTTCAGATTTAAACATAACGCAGCTTGTTGTTTGTATATACCATATGTAAGTATGCATTCATCTGTAATGTTCATGTTTGGATCGTGTTTATTGTTAGGTTACTTTTAAAGTACGTGAAATGAGACGTTTAGTTGGTGGTATCAGCACAATGGTTGGGAACAACGAGGGATCCCTAATTATCGGCGCGAGAGCACCGAATCTGTTCGGCAGAGCAGAACGTGTCCAAATGGAATACTCTTACGGTAACAAAAGTTCGATCAACTTCAATGTATCCGCCATTAAGCCGTTTCCACAAAGCTTATACAACGCAGTGTGAGTTGAGATATCTTTCTCTGTATCTAATTCTTGATGCATATATTATTAGAGTTGTATTACTGGTTGAATTAACGTTTTGCAGATTAACCGGCACTGTATTCAGCACAACGCATGATTTCCCATGGTCTGGTTTTAAGCAAAATGATAAGGGACTGCTGTTTGACATGGAACTTAATCAGACAGACGCCTCTAAGCACAACATACAATACGAAGCTGCATTTAGGAATATTAGTTGCTCGAAACAGGCGGCCTTTCGTGTTCGGGAGCAATGCGGCCCTAATTTGAAATCTGCACTGAGGTACATCTGGACGATAGATAAAAGGGACTGTCCTATATTCCCCGTTAGTGGGAGCCTCATGCGATTAACGACAGAAATGGCTGGTCTGGGTGGCGATATCGGTTTCTTGAGGAACGAACTCGCTATACAGACTAATTGGTCACCACACGAGTACCTTGTAAGTACTTTTTATCTACTGTGAAACGTTCCTTATTTCTAGCTGTCCTGACAATTTCTATATGTATTGTAAAATATTTAATCATGAATTGTCCAACCTCGAATAGACATTCCAACTGGGTCTTCAATCTGGGTTGTTGAGTGCAATCAGTAACGACATGAAGATAAGTATCGCCGATCATTTCTTCCTGGGAGGTCCACTGAATCTACGTGGATTCGACATGAGAGGATGCGGGCCCCGCTGCGAAGGAAATTCTGTGGGTGGCGAGATGTATTGGGCAGCCGCCTTTCATGTCTACACGCCGCTCCCATTCAGACCCGGCCGTAACAGTTTCGGAGATTTATTTAGGCTGCACGGTTTTATCAACGGAGGCAACTTATCCAATTTCACATACGGTGAGCAAAGTAATTTTATAGATGACTCCTACCGTCAATACATAGAAGTTTCTTCTATTAGAAATTAATCACCTAATTAATTTTTTTAATTCCAAATCTTTATATAATTGTCCTAGATGAAAATTGAGATTTAAGAAATGAAAAAATTCATTGATAATTACATGATTAATCCCCGAATAATTGTTTATTTTTCCATTTTTGCATCCATATCAATCTTAATATTGTTTGTTTGCAAAATATATTTCTTAATTTCGTTATATTTTATAATTCGAATAGAATTGATTAATTTATATGATTCATGTTCGAAATTTTCAGATAATCTGTACAATGAAAACATGAAGATTTTCACGGAGAATGTTCGCTGCGCTATCGGCGGAGGCATCGCGATGAAGCTGGGAAACATTGCCCGCATAGAATTGAACCTAGTTACACCATTGTTGTTCATGAGGAGCGACGTGCTCCAACAATTTCAATTTGGTATTGGTGTTCAATACCTTTGAACTTTTTTCTATCATTCGATAGTCTTGTATTATTACATTGTGAATGTAAAAAATAGAAGGATTATGTGTAAATTTATTTCTGTTTCTTGTCCGACACACGACAGAAAGTCAGAGTGTACAATATTTGCAATAAAATCGCAAAAAAAGAGAAGGCGAACACTATCTTTGCGAACGCGAACCTGCTTATCTATATTGTTAATTAATTATTCGCATGATTGTCAACATTAATCGATGTAATTATTAGCACATACTCACGAAAGAAAAAAAAACAGTGATTTGTTTTCCTAATAATATCCTTCAACAATACAAACATCGTCTTTTGTTCTTTTTCTTATACTAATAAAGTCATTTGATGTGCAAAATGCTGTCATGCTGTCATATACTTAGAGAAAGAATTACATGATCGCTACCCGGAAAATTTCACTGTAGCATTTCTATGATAGAGTAACTACTATACGCAGTGTGTGTGTGTGTGTGTGTTGAAATTGTATCTCGACTTTTTACTGTAATGCTTGGACTATCAAAATCCTGCCGATTTCCGTTCACGTGTTTTCTGACGCAATTATTTCACACGTTTCAGCGACTTGCACGACGTGATTTGCACACGTTCGGTAATATCGTTAGTCGAAATAACAAATTGACAGTAATGATCATGCATGTGTGTAAGAGATATATAGCAATAAGAGGTGACGGTGATAGAGAAGGAGAAGGGGCTGGAAAGTTACTCATGACCCTGAGTAACCCGACTATGAAGGAAAAAAGCGACAACGAGAAAACGAAATGTATGCTAAATCGCTTTTCGCTTCGATGCGAGATATCTCATAATCAAGCAGCGAATATCGAATGTACTTATGTTTATGTAATATCTGCATATATTTAGATATTTATTTGCTCATTTATGTACCCTGTTTATCTTATTGGTATGCGTGACGCAATTTCGACGAGAATTTCGTCACGCGTTACACACGTGAATCAGCTAATTGTTTTTAAATAAGAAATGTCTCGATGACACACCGATTATTCTTCGAATTTTTTCAGCGTCAAATCAGTGAATCAGTTTTCCTGATAAATCTATTAATTGATTTGCGATGATACTTTCGGTCGTCGCGCAGAATCAATTATGCATAATAATTTTTATGAGTTTTATACATTTCGTTTTTTACGCTTTCGAATCAGCGACTACTTGAAACACAGTCTTATCCAGTAAACACTAACTGTAACAAATATAATATCAATGTTATAATTTTACAGTCAACAATATATAAATGTAATGTAAAATGTGTTGTATATAATAGTTATATTATTGAATATGAAATTATAACATTGATATTATATTACTATTACTATATATTACTATTGTTTACCGAATTATTCCAATTTCCAACTTTAGAAGACGCTAACATTAGAAAATAACATAAGATTACGTTTTAGAGTTAAATTTTTAGAGTTAAATAGTAATCGGTTATTCAGAAACATAAATTAAAAACACAAAAAGTCAAAATGTGTATAAAATTCTTAAATTATTTAATCGTATAATATATCTCGATAACCGAAAATTTATTTAGCCACAATTTGTATTTATCTTATGTTATGCACATCAGCTGTTTATTCGTTAAATCTTTTCGTGCTTGTTTAGTTTTGAAACTGTAACCTACGTTTTTTCTCCAGCTTCTTTCCGTGTTGTCTCGAATATCCTTCACTGAATGCTTCACATTTTTCCATAAAATACGAGAATGTGTAATTGAAACAGAGAAACACTATGCTATTCATGTACTAAGGTAGAATAAATGAAGAACTATAAATTATAATCAATTGTGACCTCTTTTCAGGTCGATTTTTTAACATCCAGTGAGAACGCACTACACACAATAATGCTATGTAGATAATGCAATGTTATGCTGCATTCTTCTTACCTAAATGTAGCTTATCGTTGAAGTACATATATAAACGGACGATTGAAATTTTGTTACGACGAAAACAACGAAAAGAAAAAAAACAAGTATGAAATCATCTGTCGCTGTTCTTTATTATTAGAACAACGATCGAGTTTTTCTTTTATTGTTACTATTATTAGGACGGTTTTGATTCTTTATTATTACATTATTATTAGAATAATGTTCGATTTTTTCTTTATGAATATTGCACGCTCCAAATAACACTGTCTTCTTTTAATAATTTATTTTTAATTATAAATTATTTAACAACTACAAGTTCTTTAGCACAAATTATTTCTCCTTTGTTCGCTTTCTCTTTTTTTTCTATTAAAAATCGAAAGTCTTCATATCGAATACGTATAAAATGACCTGCCACATTCTAAAGAAATTTTCTTTTTTCTTCTTTCAATTATTTGGCAGTTTCTCGTAGGGAAATTTATTTTTAATAACAATTTATTGTTTATATAACTACAAATTCTTTATTATAAATTATTCCTTCTTCGCTCGCTTTTTCTTTTCTTTTTGTTAAAAATCCAAAGTCTTTTATGCTGAATATAAAAGGCGGCAAGTATATATTTTTCTTTTCTTTTTTGTTCAAAAATCGGAAGTCTTTTGTATTGAATATAAAAGACTAGCACACAGAAAAAAACGACAAATGCCGTTTTGGTGAATACCTTCATTTACGAGAACCAACTAAATCATAAACGATCGTTCTAAAATAGAAGTAAGGGATAAGTAAAGCGAAAAAAATCTTTGGGATATGACGTCATGCATCAAAATGTATATATATCAAGTAATATATATTAATAGATATCATTAAGAGAGAAAGGATATAAAAAGTTTTCTGGTATGCTAAACCATTTCCCCTCACTGACTTTTCACTCTCGATTCTGTTATCTTGGACTCTCGGTGTTGATTATACGTATTTATTACAGATAAAAGCGCAAAAAAGTGAGCAGTCAGTGCAGGAATGACAACTCAATCGGATCCGCGATATTGTAATCCGTGCTCACAATTATAGACGTTTGTTTAAAATTTAGTGACGATCTGATTTGTCAGCGAAATGAATTCAACTGAAGCGACAATAAATGATGACATCCTTCGTTAACGCTTAATCGTTAACTATTATAGGTATCGTTAGATATAGTAATGACTATTGTGATCTTCTCAATATATCTCTAAACTTCTCGATGCCGAAACCTTTGGACCAGATAAATAATTAAATAGCTAAATTATATCTAAATTGCGATTGTCACAAATTACAAAATCGGACTGATTTTTGCATTCCACGTCGTTAAAACTTTAGAAAACTTTTTCCCCAGACAGCACAAAATATTATGATAAATATTTATTAAAATTCATTTTTTGAAATGTTATAGATATTTCATACATATTTTATATAAAACTTTATTCGAAATATTATTAAAATATAGACTAAATATTTTACGCAATATTTATGATAAATATAAATAAATATTTCTAATAAATATTTTTTACTTGGATTATAATGTCTCATTAAGTATTTTCATAGCATTCATAGCAAACGTTATGTTTTCTTTCTCTCTTTCGTTGAATTTCATTTAAATACTCTCCGAGATTGCATCATTTGATTTATTTTGAAGTTACAAAATTCTGAATTGTCCCTTCGAACGAATCCATCATTGTTTTTCTATCACATGTTTCATCACGCAACAATTCAAACAAAGTAGACCTGCAACCAATAGAAAGTTTTCAAAAACACGTTATTTCCACCAGTGTCAAGAATTTATCTCGACTTTTCTCCCCGCGGGAATGGTCACGTGATCATTTTCACAGGCTCGTATCTAAATATGAAGCGCCGATTGAATCCATAATCTCATATTTTTTTTTAACTTCTGCGTTTTTCTTACTTTTTTCCCAATCTATTCATCTCGTTCAATCAAAACAGAAAGAACAAATAGGGAGAGAGACTGATATAAAAAAATTTGTTATGTTTTTCCTTCTAAAATCGCGAAACTTTTAATCAAAGTATTTCTTTTTAAAATGAGAACCGAGATATTTAGAACATTTTCAGATGCAAAAAAGATTCTTTTTCTGAAAAGAATTCTTGTTGCATCTGAAAACGAGCTCAGAATTGATGACATATCACTGAATTCTTTTCGAACTCTTTTGAACTCCGTGCTATCTGGGATTAGAATGGGATATTTTTTATGTATGACAGTCGGATAAAAAGTCGCAGCGTTGTGATTTTTTCTCTTGAAACCGTGAAATTTTCTAAGATAAAAGCTGGGATATGCGATGAAAATAGAAGTGAAAGAAGGGGCGCAGACGCACCCTCTCATTACACGCGCCTGAGGTGGTGGCTTCGCGTCTGCTCACCGCGCATGCGCGCCTCCCCGTGCCGTCCAGTGCTGGAAACGATACATCACGAATTACGATACTCTCTCATTTTGTAGTTGAAAATGGCCGCTTAAAGTATCTCGTAAACATGTGTTCTATAAAGATGTACCCGTTTGAGATAGACAACCTCGCCTCTGCGAAATCGACTGGAATTGACACAGCAATCGGTATAGATTATTTAGGGTGTGGAACAAGATCCACTTTATTCACGTGCGATTGCAATTGGGTGGAATATCCGAAAGGCCACTACATCGCCTGCAAGGACTCTTCTACATCACGTAAGTTAAGAGTGTGTACGTGACATGCGACGCGTGCGTCGCGCGATGCATGCACGTGTGTGTGCATGGATGACTATCTCAATGACTGATTCTACGTCATATGCTAAAATCTATATGCGCTAAATAATGCGATTATAATGGACACTCGAAACGTGCCTGCCAATGTACGTAGGCATCGTCATGATGCATGCTATGATGCATCATGTTTTCCCATATAGCCTTATTGTTTGAGATCCACGATACATGTCAGTAGTACAGATATGCTAAAAAAAAATATCCGATAATATTCCGGCCAATGTCTCGCAAACGCTGAACACCTGAATATTTTATCAATCGGCACATTTTTCTGGTGGACGATTTTGTAATTGACTAAAGATAAGGAGGATCTTTTTAGATAAGAATTCTTTTTACAAGTTAAGCCTCAGAAATTCATAAATGCTTATTTGACTTTTTGTTGATAAGATCTTTTATTAATTGGAATTTATATAGAAGATTGTTGAAAGTAGGCAAGTTAGAAAAAATAATTGATAATAATTGATTGTAAAGGAAAAACATTTTGATTAAAGAAAATATAAATATATATATATATATATATAAAGGAGATTCTATAAAGTCGTCTGTTCTGTTGATTCAATAAGACTGACACACATTTTATTTACGTGTCATTGACACAATACTATACACTGTTACATCAATATACACATACATACAAATTTTCTAATTAATTTTTCATATTAGACATCTGTACCTAATTCTAAGAATTCAACATTGTTCATATAATTCGTAGTCTAAACTAAGATTATTTTTTATACTCTAGATCACAGTAGAGCGAAGCGTCAGCTGAGCTGTTTTGGAGTCGGCCAAACCATATGCCGGATGGAATGCATTAAGTATGGCGATTATGAGCAAAACAGCATCATACGATTGTCCGTTAGACAGTAAGAAGCTTGATAGCTTAGACAACATGAATATTTCAGATTCCACTCAGGTCACCAAACAGATTAATAGCTCAACAATGTTGAGCTCACCCAAAGGTACGCATAGGAAAAGAAAACCGAAGGCGCGCAAGAAGAAGAGAACTAAAGGGAGATACATGACCAAAGTACGTTGTATAGCTAATTCTTTGAATTATAATTATTGCGAGGATAGCAATAATAAAATGCCCGATGCACAAGAAAATTCGATTCGATCGCCGACAGAAAGCTCCATCGATCTTGAAGATTGGGTCGTTTTTGGAAACGACGAATTATATGAAACACATAATAAACAAAGAATGACAACATCCTCTCCTACCGAAGCGCGTTATACGCCTATCTTCAATTCTTCGATGAGAAAGAACGATAATCCTTGCAAGGATTCCAACATTGATGCCAAAATTGCTTCTATTCGATTGCGATCATTATCAGAAAGTTCCACTAATTCTGAAGACAGTAATTATATTTCTATAACTTTAGATGAACAGAAAGCAACAGAAAGGCCCAGAATACGTTATGATTGTTTAACGAAGATAAACGATGAACGCAAGGATTATAACAGACAAATGCAGAAGAATTTGTTCCAACATCGCCGATTACCGTCAGACAGTTCTGAATGTTCTGATG